GAAGGTCATTTATGAACTTTTCTAGAGCATTCTTATGAAAGAGTGTTATTTTCTACATTGTAAATCAGGAATGTCACCTTTAATGAAGCAGATGATCAGAAACTTTAGTAATGCATTTGTTGTTTGCCATTCTCTCTCACACATACACACAAACACACATCTTTCTAAATCTATCATCTATCCATATCTATCTATCTATCTATCTATCTATCTATCTATCTATCTATCTATCTATATCCATATCTATATCTATCTATCTATCTATCTATCTATCTATCTATCTATCTATCTATCTATCTATCTATTTATCTATTTATCTCCACATCTATATCTATATCTATACCTATCTATCTATCTATATATCTATCTATCTATCTATCTATCTATCTCTATCTATCTATCTATCTATCTATCTATCTATCTATCTCTACCTCTATATCTATCTATCTATCTATCTATCTATCTATCTATCTATCTATCTATCTATCTGTCAGCCTATTTCTCTTGATTTATCCTTTCCTTGTTCCAATTCAGCATAGGCAGGTACAATCAATGGGCTTCTGAACATTGTGTAACCAATATTGTGTAAAAAGATAAATTATAAACTACATGGGCAGTAATCCTATTAACTGCATTTAGTTAATTTTAATTAAAGCAAATTTGGCTTTTGTCATGGCTGTTACTACTTTTTAGAGTATGATCCGGTCCATGGTACTCCCTTCTTCCAAAAAGTTAAGCATCCTTGTCATATAACAATCCTACATCCCTAGCACGTCAGTAATCCACTAAAGGTTTGGTTTAGTTCCATATCTTATGGAATTTATAATTGCCTCTGTCAGTCTAAAGATCTCAGCCCCATAAATTAGTTGGGGAGAGACTTTCCAAAGATAAAAGTGGGGAAATCAAATTTCCTCTGTTGTTTGGGACAAAACGAATATGTTTAAAGATCTCAAAAATTCCGCTTGGTTAAGCTTAGAGGTCAATTCTTCCGATATTGTAGGAAAAAGAGTGTCAGAACATAGGGGCAGAGTGAAAAGAAGGATCAGCCTAGAATCCCTATGTGGCCACAAAGTCCTAACCCCTTTGAGTGCTGTTGACCCTTATCTAACTCCTACCAGGTGCCCACCATTAGTTGAGAAGATTCTTCTGCATGAGTAGCAATAAATCAGTTTAATTGGACCTTCACACGTGGACCTCATCTTTTGCACCTGACAGATCTCAAGGAACTGAACGGATTTCTTTGTTCAATATGCTACTCATCAAATGATAGATAGTTCCTGAAAACAGACAGATGAGTCTTAATAGGCTTGAAATCATAGCTCTCTCTAACCCAGGGGTGTCAAACTCTCAATATCATGTGACATGTTGCGACAGATCACGACTTTTTTCCCATTGCCGGCAATGGGGTGGGTGCGGCTTTGGCATGACGCATCCGGCCCGTGGGCTGGCAGTTTGACACCCCTACTCTAACCCATCAGTCAGAGAGGACCATAATTAGTCATAATCATAATCAGTCATAATCTCCCAATGGCTTAGTGGTCCTTGCAGCACATTATCTTCCCATAATCATATATTCAAAGTATTAGACCAAAAGATTACATGGAAAATGAATTATGATGCTGAATTCACCACCTTGATTGAAGGAGCAGGTCTTCTATTTTGCCTCAGATTTTTAATCTGTCTATACCACCTTTTAACAAGGATAAACCTAATTATCATTGTCTATGATCCATAACTGCAGTCCTAAATTAATCTGGCCAATATTATCCAACTGACATCTTTCTGACTGATTTGGGGTGTTTAAGTAAAGCATACATTATTCTGTTCATTCCTTTGAGATGATATTACTTGAAAAAAAATAATTCCACATCATGAAATATGAAACAAGTTAAAACATCTAAGTGATATATGAATTTGACTGAGGCAATAGTAAAATATACAGTCTGGTTTAGTTTAGTTTAGTCTTAGTTTCCTGTTTAACTTGGAGCCTTCTTTCTTAATCTGTGTTTCTGTAAGAATCTTTCCTGTCATGTAGGGAATGTAAGAATTGCAGTTATTGAAAGCATTATAAAAATGTAAGAATGTAATTATGTAAGAATACATATCAATCATCTCCACAAATAGCTTTTTTTTCTGTTCTTTGCTTATTTGTTTCAGGGAAGAGATTTGCTGGAATAGTTTTTGCATTAACCTTTTACTTCCAAAGAAAGACATTACAGCTTTCTTTGACTTTTGAATTACTTTCCACAAATTCTGGAAATGTTAATTTGGCATTAACTGCCAAACAGCTGAACTGCCTTACTCTGAAAGACCTGCTGAAAATTCACTCTCTGCTTTCCCCAGATCTGCATAGAAGCATTGCTTTGAAGCAGAGTTTGGATCCGAAGGAAGTTATATTGCTTTATTGAGATTTTGTTTCAGTCTTATTTTCACTGAGTGATTAAAAAAAAATTACTTGATTGGAGAGGGAGAAAAGGAATTGCATAGTGTTGTAAATTGGACTTTGAATCCAACTCACTACTTCTGAACTGTGTGCCGTGCAGTGCCAATTTTTTAAATACTGATGGAAGTGTTAATCCAATACACCAAGTTTCCCACCTCTGTTTCAGTTCTTTCTTGTCAGGTGTGAAGAATAAGGACCACATGTTAAGTTCCAGTTAAGATGATTTATTGCTCAAGCCTATACACAAGAACCTGGTCGACTAACAGATCAGCATAAAATTAGAGCTAGATAAGAGTTAATAGAATTAACTCGGATTGCTTATGGGAACGTAATGACTCCAGGCTAATTCCTCTCTTGACTCCACACCCAAGCTCTGCCTCTTCTCTCAAATTCCTCCACCAAATAGGTTGCCTATTCTTCCATTTCCTTGGAAGAATGCCTAATTTTAGATACGATTTCCTAATTTCATTTTCAACCTGTTTATGAAACTACCAAATCTCACACAATGGGTCAGCTGAAATTAATTATTTGGGGAAGGCCTTTTTGTTGGCAATTACAATTTCCAATTCTCTTTGTGTCCTAAAAACCTCCAGAATTGTAAGCTAACATTTATTCACCTCTCATTTCCTTCACCTCTATAACTAGTTGTGCCCAAACTTGGCAATAAAAATTTAATGCTTTAGGCACCAAGTTATACGAATCAGCATGATTGCTTTTCCTTGGAGAGAAATGTTTTTGTAGGAAAAGGGCTGTGAAGTTGTTAAAAAATGAAAAATGAATAAGGCTTCCGTTCTTAAAATAGATTAATGGTTCAGTTGCTGTTGATCACAGTCCATGAAATTAATTTTCAGGTGATCCATTTAGCATCCAAATTTTCCATGATGAAAGTTTGCTTCTGAATAATCAGAACATCTTTGGTGTCTCTAATGGGTTTCTTCACTTTTTTGTGCTACTTAAAACATACCAAACTTACTGAATAGACTGTCAAACTTCTCCAAAATGGGAAGATTGATGGGGAATATAATTTGGCTTCCATAGGTTTTACAGGTATAGAAAAAGCAAATAGAAAATATTTCTTATTGTGGCTTTATAGCCATACTGTTTCTCTCTGAAGGGGAAACATAAAGTCTTGAGATCTTCTCCCCTAAATTTCTATGATCACAAGGCAGTTTTCCACAACTACGGCTTGTTACTAAATCTCAAAATGTAAAACTTGTGTAGCATTCTATAGCTGCACACATAATCAACATACGTGGAGTCAACCTTTCTCCTATATTAGCAGACAGACCCATATTTTGTAGAATAAAAATTAATCATTGTCCACGCAGTGATGGAAAGACAAAGAGTTTGTGACATCACAATTATATGGATTTTTTTTAAAAAAAATGTATAATCTTGAACAACCTACTTTTTATTTGTCTCAGGAGGAATCAACTGACCAACCTTCAGAATGCTGTCAGATTAAACAAGGTCCATCCTGGTTAATACCTGGATGAAAAGCTACTAGGAAAACCAGGACTACAACATAGGTTACAGTATAGACCAGGGGTAGGCAACCTTGGCTCTTTTATGACTTTTGGACTTCAACTCCCAGAATTCCTGAGTCAGCATGGCTCAGCTTGGAAACCTCTCCCTTTTCCCTCAGCGTGGCTGGCTCAGGAATTCTGGGAATTGAAGTCCACAAGTCATAAAAGAGCCAAGGTTGCCTACCCCTGGTATAGACTATATTCAGCAATTGGCCGGGGGAGAAGCAGATTTTGGAAGGAAAAAAAGGGTTTCCACCACTTCCATTCTCTCCAGGACTCAAATATGACTGTATTATTACCTTTTATAATTGAAAATTCTGCATATATTTAAAATATGGAGAGCAAATTGACCTCGGTGATCTGTTCATATCTATATTGAAGGTTCTTTGCTAGGATGTATATTTCCTATTTCTTACAAAGAGACAAACCCACTGTGGTACATTGCAAGGATCAGAAAATTACAACTACCCTATATTTCCTTCTAAAATGTGTTTCAGGACAGAGGTTGCAAAGACCCTATCCTTGAGGAACATGGCAATGATACTGACATGACATCAGTGGTGGCTCTGAAGTCTATTACAACGAACAAATCCTACCACGGTCCAGATGTTGCTGAACAACAGCCACAGAACCAGCAGAGGAGAGGAGGTTGAGAAGTGTAGTGCAGCAGAATCTGGAGGTCCACCACAAGTTCCTTCCTATCTGTGATGTAAAACCAAAGTTAGAACTAACATTGGCTGTTACTAGATCAGGGGTAGGCCACCTTGGCTCTTTTATGACTCATGGACTTCAACTCCCAGAATTCCTGAGCGAGCCATGCTGAGGGGACAGGGAGAGGTTTCCAAGGTGAGCCATGCTGGCTCCGGAATTCTGAGAGTTGAAGTCCACGAGTCATAAAAGAGCCAAGGTTGCCTACCCCTGTAAACTAGACACATCAACTGCCGCAATGCCTTCTTCTGTCTTGGTTTTAAGATTGTAAAAATGAAGCCATTAATTTTCTTCTTCTGTTTCTGTTTTCCTACTCCACCTAGGTGTCTCAGTGAGCGTATCAACTTTTAGCCTAGTGGCAATCTCTCTTGAGAGATATAGTGCCATATGCAAACCCCTGCAGTCTCGGGTCTGGCAGACCAAAACCCATGCCTTGAAGGTAATTGCAGCCACATGGTGTCTGTCTTTTGTCATCATGACGCCATACCCCATTTACAGCAACCTGATGCCTTCAGCGCTTCCTAACAGCACCGCATCCAAGTGTCGTATTAATTGGCCAAGCACAATGATTGAGCAGTCCTGGTAAGAGTGGACCATAGGTCCTTATTTTTTTCTTTTGAAGGCATTTGTCTTTATCAAATTATGGAAAGCGCAATGATTTGTGATTTCAGTGGAACCAAAATAAGTATATTAATACCATTGCAGCTAATTGCAGTAATGATTGATGTCTGGATTACAACGTTAACTGTATAATTATAGCACAATAAGTTGCACTTATGTAGTAAGCAACTTTTTCATTCTTCTATAGTTCTGGCAGTTTTTGCACTTATATCATGTTCTCTACCCACTATGGACAATGGACACATTCTTCTCATATGTCAACCCAACTATCTTCCCCAAGATCAAGTCATTATCCAGATGTGGTTGCCTCCTAAAAAATGGGGAGACATTCAATTCCCCCAAAGTTTCAGATACTAAAGCATTGATCAATCAAAACTAAACTGGTCCAGCTAGATACCCACATTGTCCAGGAAATAAAAATTCTGAGCAGTTAATTAGAAGTATATTTTCTCTTTTCTCTCAAGTGGATTTTTTTTTAAAGGATGGAGAACTTTTAAAACTTTGTTCTTTTGTCTTCCGTCTCAGGATTTTCCCCCCCAATCTTTTCCTCCTGTAAATAAGTGCAGAGAGGAATTTTGTTGCAAAAGAGGATTGGGGAAGCTATAGAAAGGGATCCCCCAGGAGTGTTTGGGAATAGGGAGAAGATACAACAGTCGGGTTCTATTACAAGGATCTAAGGACAGTGGTGGGATTTAGCTGGTTCACACCAGTTCAGCAGAACCAGAAGCTAAATTTTGCTGAGTTCGGAGAACCGGCTGAATGCACACTGCTTCCGGAAGTCCATTCTAGGCCTCAGAAGCCTGGAGGAGGTCTCCCCAGCCTAGAACGGCCCACCAGGAGTGCATGGATGCCACTTCCGGAAGTCCGTTCTAGGCCTTGGAGGCTTGGAGGAGGCCTCCCAGACCTAGAACGGCCCGCCGGAAGTGCATGGATGCCACTTCCGGAAGTCTGTTCCAGGCCTCGGAGGCCCAAGCCTGCATCCAATAAGAGAACCGGTTATTCAGGTATTTGAAGCCCATCAATGCCTAAGGACCTCCAATTGAGACAAGCAGGAAAAACACAATTGGGATACTACGTCCAGTTTTGGTCATCATGGTACAAAAAAAGATGCTGAGATCTTAGGAAAGTACAGAGAAGAGCAAAAAAGATGATAAAGGGTCTGGAGGCTAAATCTTACAATGAACGGCTAAGGCAGTGGTTCTCAACCTTTTTAATGCTGCGACCCCCAACCGGTCGTAAGTCGAGGACTACTCAACCGGTCGTTAAGTCGAGGACTACTCAACTGATGTAGCACCGTTTGCAGAATGGGACTTTTGGCGGGCTCAGCAGGGCAGAGACAGCCTGGACAATTCCTATTGGCTTTTGAAAGCCAATAGAATTAGACTCTATTCAAGAGAGTCTATTCTGTTGGCTTTCAAAAGCCAATAGAATAAAAGGGAGTAGCACAGCTAAGGAAAAGGGGAAAACAAAATGGCGGACTGCATTGTTTGGCGACCCCTGTGAAATGGTTGTTCGATCCCAAATGGGGTCCCGACCCACAGGTTGAGAACCACTGGGCTAAGGGAACTACTGGTAGGTGTGCTTAGCCTAATACATAGAAGACTTAGAAATGACATGATCATTGTCTTCCAATACCTGAAGGGCTGTCACAGAGAAAAGGAGATTGACTTATTCTCCAAAGCACCTGAGGGCAGGACAAGATTCAACGGGTGGAAGCTCATAACCGGAAGATGCAACCTGGAACTAAGGAGGGATTTCCTGTCAGTGAGAACAATTAATCAATGCAAAGACTTGCTTCTCAGAATTATGTGTGCTTCACCACTGGAAATTTTCAAGAAAAGATTGGATAGCCATTTGTCTGGGGTGGTACGAGGATCCCTGGGTAGGGGGTTGGACTAAAAGACCTCCAAGGTCCCTTCCAGCCCTATGATTTTATATACTGTAAGTCTCAGGGAAGGAGAGTTTCCTGAGTTATGGGTACAGATCGCGCATAGCAGACAATTGTATGACTATCTGCAAGCTTTGCAGAGAGAAAGATGCTGTAAAGGACTTAAATCATCATGAATTTAAGCAAATTCTTTTAAGAAAAGGAGATTTGAATGGATGGATATATGTGTGAGGTACATTCACTTTCTCTCTCTCTCTCTCTCTCTCTCACACACACACAGACACACACACACACACACACACGCATTCATTATCATATTCCTTATCAAATTAGACAGCCACTTATTGGGTGCACTAGCCTTCCTTTCAGATAAATAGGACTGGCTGTCACCAGTATGTTTCCAGATTTACAGCAAAGTTTACAGGCCTGCCTATTCACTGAAATCTTCAACAAATAAATAAATAAAACAGATAGACCCATATTTCTTCAGCAGTTCCTATAATAACAACTCAAATTATCATCTACCCTGTTTGGGGTTTTGTGTGATTTTAAATCAAGCCTGTGGCATGAACATTAGTCAAAAGTGGGTTTATTTGTTTGAGACCATATTATTTCGTACTTGGAACTGGCGTGCTAGCCAAAGATGCCAGATTAATCAGCTGTAATTGTAACTGAAGCTCAAGTGAGAGATGTTTTCTGTAATATACCTCCTTCAGATGATATCCTGATTGTTAATCATGACAGCCCAGGAAAGCAAAACAATTATGTTTAAATTATGCCTTCGTACACTCTACAATAATTTCATATTTCAAATCAGAAATAGCCCCGTAATAATAAACTTTCCAAAAGCTGCTCTGCTGATCTGCTTTAGAAAAACAGAAATAATTATAGCAAAGAAGGAGACATTTGTTCTGGAATAAATGTACATGGACTAAATCCTGTTTTTGTGGGGGTGGGGGTCCTGCTTTTAAAATAACAGGCGCTGACTGATGGATTCGTTTATTAAATTTACATGCCACCCTTCTCGCTGTGCAGAGCAGTTCTGGGTGGCTTACAATGCAATAAAAAAAGAAGTATAAAAACATTTATAAATATTGGAATAATTAAAATTACAAACATTAAATAGATTAAGAACCAAGGGCTTGTGCAGAGCAGGGGTGGTGCTTTCTGTCTCTGAATCAGGTATCCCCAGCCTGAAGTGTCTCCATTGGGGTCCCACGCCAATCTAGGTCTTAAGACCACTTTGGAAAAACCACAAGGATGTGGGTGGCTACCTCATCTGAGGTAGCAGGATGTTCCAAAGGACAGAGGTCACAGCAGATAAGGTTTTTCTCCTAGAACCTGTCAGTCAAAATTCCTTGGCTGATGGGATCCAGAAGTAGACCTATTTTTCTGGACTGTGTGGGGTGGGCCAGTCCTATTGGGACGAGATGGTTCTTCAGATAGCCTGGAGCCATGCCATAAAGGGCTTTAGAGGTGATGACCAACCTCCTGAATTGAACCCAGAAGCAAATCGGCAACCAGGGCAGTTCCCATAACAGTAGTGTTATACCTGAGGAGCCTCCAAAACTGTCCAACGTATTCTGAACCAATTGTAGCTTCCAAATAGTCTTCAAGGGCAGCTCCACGTAGAGTGCATTGTATTAAGACAAGAGATGACCAGGGCATGAGTGACTGAATGGAGGGCCTCACAATCCAGGAAAAGGTGCAGTTGGCACGTGTAGAAGGAAAAGTCTTCATCATGGTTCAGTCCAAGCCGGGAATAAACAACATGGTGACTGCTTTAGAAAGAAGGTTGCAGTTTATTGAAGAGGAGAGACAGACAGAAAGATGGCTCTGGAAGGAAAACATGTAGTAGGGAGTGGGTTTTATACCCTCTTGGGCTTTTGTTTAGAGTTGTTTCCTGTTCCTGTTTGAGGCTTTGTATTTCCTGTGTCATGTACTTTGACCTGAGTTTGAGTGTGCCCCTTTGGATCTGTGGGTTAATCCTATTATGTTCTGTCCTAGAGTTTGGGTGGGATATGTAGATTTTAGGTGTCTTTGTCTTCCCAAGCTTCTAGCTGGAGGGTTCCAACCTTCCTGAATGGATTATCACATCTGCATTTCTACAGAGCTGGTTTCTGCTTGGGAGAGGGAGACTTGGGGCTATTAAGAAAAACTGGGCATGCTTTTCTGCCTCTTTAAGATCTTTTGAGGAAATATAATATTCTACCCTTTTAATATTTCCTTCTCTGGGCGGGGCTGACTTCCCACACATGCAACATGAAATTACACATGCCAATCCATACAAGCATGCGCACCTCCTCATCCTTGTAACTTTCTCTTAAAATGCACAAAGCAAAGCAAAGTAAATTTTGTTCGTGCTCTGAGTAACACACTTCAGTCATTGGAAACCTTACGACAGACTTCAAGCCAAACGATGATGAAATTATATGTTTCCTCTCTTTTTTTGAGTGCTACGTTTTAGGCTTTGTCGCTAAAGAAGTCGACTCTTTCAAAGCAGACTTTTGAAACCGAGGACAGCAGTTGAACTTTATTGTTGCAATTGGCCACCGCAAAGTAGACAGATTCCGCCTCTGTGAATGTTGTGCTCATCATACTCAGCCCCATCACTGGTGCCCTAAAAATTAGGCATTGACGGTAGCCCCATCAGAGATACTTGGACAAGTAATCATTTCAATCAAAAAGGCCAACACAGTGCTAGGCTGCATTAACAGAGGGATAGAATCAAGATCACGTGAAGTATTAATACGACTCTTCAATGCCTTGGTAAGGCCACACTTGGAATACTGCATCCAGTTTTGGTCACCACGA